CAAATGGTCCAGTCTGTTGTAACTGGTCTACTGCTTACATTCACTGTTGGAAACCAAATGGCCGTTACCATATTTGGATTTCACTTGAGCAGTGATATGAATGGTAACAACTTTTTTACTGCATTAGTTGTTTTACCATATGACTTTAATCTTAATTTCTCTACTTTTGGAATTGCAAACAGTGCCTTCATAACATATTAACATCATAATCCAAACTTTTCCAGATCATTTAGCTACTGGCAATGAAGACTATAGACCGGTATTAAGCAAGAATCTATGTGCTGCAAGTAAAAATAGCTGACAACTTGTTTCTAACATAAAATTGGTTATTTTATTGTGGAGACTAGGCATGGGTTGATATAAGATTCTGACGGAATGATAACCGAGGATAAAAATATCACGGTTTCACAGTATGACAGTATTGTAATTACTGCTCTAAAATATATTCTATTTAAATGTCTGGGTTAAAATTCTAGGTCACACTTTATTTTGATGGTCTGTTTGTGGAATTTAAGTTACATTGCATCTACATGCCAACTAATTCTCATTAGATTATAAGTAGACGATTAGTTTAGGGTTAGTGTAAGTTGACATGTACTTGCACGGTTCATATAGTCAGTTAAATATCTGTTTAAAAGTGCAGTATCAACAGATATTAAGCAGACAGTAATACTCAAATGGACCATCAAAATAAAGTGTTACCAAAAAGTAAAACTTTTTTCCCCTTTGAACACCATATATTTCAGAAACTTTTAAATATTTTGGAGCAGTAAACACATAAGGCTAAATATTTCAAATGAACCATTGACTTCTGTCTTTGTTTGTTTCAAAATCACAGATTTCTTTGTAAATAAAAACAGCATATTTGGATATGTTTTCTGCTGGAGATACTGTTGTCCTAAAAAACCAAAAACAAATTTCAATAAAACATCTTACACATACCTTATGGTATAGTGGAAAATTTTGGCGGTTTTCAAACCTTGACTTTTCCAAACTGCCTTATACCTTGAAAACGGTTATCGTCCCATGCCTAGTGGAGACACAAATCATTTTTAGGTTAGCAAAAATCTATTTTACACACACATAAAAAGGGGGAAGGGCTTAATGTCTTAAGTTTAACATTATCATAATTTATTTTTTGCAAAGAAATTTGCAATTTAAGTGTCATCCTAAAAAAATATATATAGAGAGTAAGAGAGCAAAACAAAGTCTCTAAACATTTACATGTAAGATTAAAAGTTAGAAATTAGTCATTTCATTTTAAGGTTTTTTTTTTTTTTACAGGTAGGCTACATGCATAAATACAGTTCTCTAAATAATTAAATCCACAAAAAAAAACAAAATACTAAACAACCAAACCAAATTTTTACGAAACAATCAATTTTTTAACTGCTGCTTGAACACCATCAGATGATAAAGTTTATTTTGAGTTTTGGTGATTTTTGCAGATGTTATGCAGCAGCCGAAACAGATTGGTAATCAAAAATGAACTTGATTTGTTTGCAATCTACACTGATTCCCAAGATAAAAAGGTAATTGTTTGGCAGAGTAACTCTGCAGCTAACATGTGCTTTAAATTGCAGCGGACTTAATGCAGACTATGATGTCTTATGAATTCCAGCTGAAAATTAATCAGCTAAACTAAATTATTATCCAGCCTGTTATCAAAATGCTATAGATCAGTTCCTGACATTAAAAGTGCTAGTTTATGCCAAAAATTAAAACTCTGTCATCATTTAAACTTCATAGACTTTTAAGTCTCACAGTTTGTGATCTCTCATACTGCCTGCCTGACACCATTACCGCTCCCAAAATTTGATATGACATATTTATTACATAATAATTACTGTAATTCCAGACTTTCGTGCAGATCCGGCACGCATTTACAAAAGCAAACTGTTTCAATTGACTCCAAGAAGATCATCACTGAAAAACAAAAGTCAAGTTGTCGCCACAGTGAGAGGAATCTGTGCAAGCGTTAGCCAGCACTTTAATGAAGTCAAGGCTTTTGTAATGCAAACAATCGCTCTTGACGTTATCTGTTGTTGATGCACTGTAACCATCAACTCCAGATGTCCCCTCTACAGTCTGAAAATCTGGACAAAAGCCGGCAAATCACTTTCATTGGGTTTCCCACACAATTTGCCTCATTTGTGTTATATAACTGTTAGGAAAGAGGTTGAGTGCACTTGTCTGTTCTTGAATCACAATTACATAATAATCACTACCACAACATGCAGATGTGCTGGCGTAACGGTCGCTAATGTGGTACTCAAACCCATCTGACAGGTCAAATGTTTCTGTAAGATGGTTTATGGAAAAATTGGAGTGTTTACACAGACTGCGACACCGATGGGCTGAATCATCCCAGAGGGATTTCAGACCCCGACATCTAAAAGGGCACTGCACAATAACCGTCTTGTCCATAAATGGTGAGACTTGATTTGTGCTAATAAAACAGGGAGTTGAGTTATCATTTCTCTATTAAAAACTTGAGAAGCGAGCATTTTAAAGACAATCACTTCTGTCTGGAATCTGTAAACACTGGGATTTCAAAATATTAAGAGACAATTGGACGCAACAGTGTCCAGTCTTGCTTAACGCCTTGGACTATTAAAGCTTCAATGTTTATATGGTTGTTACAACATTTCTCGTAATGACATTTTTAGTTTGTTTTGAGATCGCCAAAACTCTTAAAATCAACATTTGAGTTGGCATTGTTAAAAAATTGTTTTTTATTTTATATCCCTTGTTTCAATGTGGGTATTCAAAACTATTTAAATGATTGTTCATTCATCGTTCATTCAGCCATCTTGGTAACCAAACTGCGGAACTATTTGTAGTCAAGCAATCTTTCAAAATGGGAAAAATAAACATGGTTAATAAATATGGTTGTTACAACATTTCTCGTAATGACATTTTCAGTTTGTTGTGGGATCACCACATCTCTTAAAACAAATATTTGAGTTGGCACTGTTAACAAAGGATGTTTTTCATTTTATATTCATTGTGTCAATGTGGGTATTCAAAACCCTTTAAACTATTTGTAGTCAAGCAATCTTTAAAAATGGGAAAAATAAACATCTCAGAATATGCTTGACTTAATGGCATGCAATTAAATGAGAAATATCCTGTCAACATTTATCATCACAGATGCTTCAGAGTTCATGCAGTATTATACTTCACAGCGGACGCCTGAAAACATTAATGTGTTTCCTAATTCTAAGGAAAAAAACAATAATTTTTAATTAAACATGTTTAAATTTGGCATGAAGCCAATAGTGTACTTTTTCTGTATGTTTTCTCGTGCCATACATCTGATTGACATGGTTTCTGAAATGAGAAAAAAATATAGGGTGGTGGATGATTAAGTCTATTGGAAACCGATTGGATTGCTGGAAGATGGTCTTTACTTTCAAAATGGAGGAAGATTTTAATTTTGGACTATTGTGCTTCATTGTTTATATGGTTGTTACAACATTTCTCCTAATGACATTTTCAAGTTGTTGTGGGGTCAGCACATCTCTTTAAAAATCAACATTTGAGTTGAGACTGTTAACAAAGAATGTTTTTCGCTTTATATCCTTTGTTTGGATGCGGGTATTACCAAAATCCTTTAAATGAAAGTTCATTCATTTTGATGTTTGGCAGCCATCTTGGTAACCAAACTGCAGATCTTTTTGTAGTCAAGCAATCTTTCAAAATGGGGAAAAATAAACATCTCAGAATATGCTTGACTAAATGGCATGCAATTAAATGAGAAATACCCTGTCAACAATATCATCACAGATGCTTCAGTCAGTGCAGTATTATACTTCACAGCGAAGCCTTAAAACAATAATGTGTTTTATGATTGTAAGGGAAAAAAAAACAAGATTTTGTGATTAAGACATGCTTAAAGTCGGCATGAAACAGAAGCTAATATTGTCCCTTCCCCACAAACGGACATTTGATTTGATGACATGGTTTTTGAAATGAGAAAAAAATATATATAGTGGTGAAAAATTTCATCTTTGGTTACTGATTGGATTGTTGGAAGATGGACGTTGCTAACAAAAAGGAGGAAGATTTGAGTCTTGGACTACTATGGATTCATGATTTGTATGGTTGTTACAACATTTCTCATAATGAACGTATTTCATATTTGTAAAAAAAAAAATTGTATTGTATAATTAAGACATGTTTAAATTAGAGCAACATAAACATATACCTTCAAAAAAATCCAAATACTTTGTTCACACAGCTTTGAATCTTCTGTGGCTTGGATGCATATGTCTGTGTGTGTGTGGCGTGTTGCTTTATTGGCAGGATGTTGGGAAGCTGCTGCCATCAGATTCTCGTGCATTTGCATATCTGCACATGTGAGAAAGGATATGACATATGCATAGAATGCATTGTATGTTCTAGATTAAAGACTGATCATAACTGGGATGGCTTTGATTAAATGTCAGGGTCAGCCAATGCAAATGACAAATCACATTCTGCTTAGTTCTGACACCCTTAAAAAGGGTTCAGTAACTGAAAACATATTAAACAGCAAATATTGGAACCCAGCTTAATAAAGTGAAAGTAACAATGACACAAATAAAAACCCAAACTTAAACCCCTAACCCAACAACGATTGTGCAAAAACACCTACAAAACTCAATTGGTGTGATCCAACAAGCGTGGGTTAAATAAAAATAGTGTAATAATTTGAAGACCCTAATTGAAAAAAAAATAATAATAACAAGATTGTATATCTTTGTGGCAACTGCAACATTGCACAAAAATCTGGATTTTTCTCCCTTTAAATTGTGACTACTTAAAAACAAGATATATTTACACTATAGTACTTGTAAAGAGATAAAGCATAACATGTTGTATGTTTAATACAAATGCATTTTGGTCTTGTGGAATTTGAAGATCAGATCACTCGTTAAGAGACATTTGCTATAAAAAGTCCTATGCAGTAACTAATTTATCCTGCTTTAAAATCTCAAGTTTTTATTTGTTTATTCATAATATACTCAACCAGTAATGATAGACAGTACAGAATGTATTTTGATCATTCTCATAGGAGGCTGCTACACTCCTCTGTTGAGAGTCATCACTGAGCATCGCCCCTCTCTGAGCTCTCACACTTCTATAAAGGGAGGTGGTCCTCCAGTCCCTCCTGTTCCTTCTCACTCATACACTTCTCGACAAATTGAACAGACCTGCTCACCACAAAGGACACAATGTGGTTTGCTGTGTTTTACATATGGGGAACCATCTTGGCATTTTCTGTATGTGACATCTGCCCAGAAACCTCTGAGGATGCTGCTTCATGGGTAGAACTGAAGCCCCAGAGACACTGCGGGGACGAGGAACACTTCTGCCCTTATCGACTCACCCTCCCTCCTCTCTCCATCCAGCTACCCAGGCCTTTTAGGGAGCTGGAAGAAATGGCTAAGGAGCTGCAGAACCTAAAGGAAGTTGTCAACCAGCTGAGAAGAGACTGCCAGGAATGTAAGGACAGGCACAGTGACAGGAGGGGTGGATGGACGGACCATAGTGACGAAGAGGAAAGGAGGTATCAAAGTCCAAGGCATAATATCAGTGTTAAGAACAAACCAAGTCCTGATGGAGAAAAAGTTGCTCAAATCTTCTCTTCAACCTTACCACAAGGAGACACATCAGAAAGTGAAGGAACCATCAAGGGGTTTGAGAAAAGGCCTAATCATTCAACACTGGAAGTTCAGGAATGGGATATTAAATCGAGGATTGATCTAAACCAAGGCACAACAGATCCAACATCGGAGATGAATAAAGATGTAAAAATATTTAACCCCTTACTTGAGGTATCTGAGGATATTTCAAAGGTGCCTACACCTTTAGGGACAGAAAGGGAACTAAAGCGCAGTGGATTAGCAGAACCCTCCCTTCCCGTAAAAAAGGATGATGTACAATTTGTAACCCATGTGAAACAACAGCCAAATGTTCTCAAGGATGGAGATGCTGGGAACGTCAGCGACATTCTGACAGTGAGAAGAAGAGTGCAGAATGTGCCTTATCAGGATAGATTAAGAGATCCTAACATAAGGACAACAGATTTAAGCACATCAGCAGTTAACAAAAAAGTTCAGAACTTTCCTGGAGGAGATAGACCATTGAGGCCAAGAGGTTCCTACATAAACAGTAGAGTTGTCAAAGTTAACAATGAAGACAGATTGAAGAACCCTGCTGTCATGAGAAAAACTAATCCACAAGTCGGGGAAACGATGGGTATGATTCAGCCAGAAGAGGCTGGATTTTCTCCAGCGAGGAGTGGCATTATGCGGGTAAAGGAAACTAGTCCTCATATAGCAAACACAAAATCTGGGACAATCAGAGAATCAAGTCCATTAACAGATGACCAAAACAAACAAGACTTCAGTAGCGTTTCTGGTCCCAAAACAGACGATAAACATGTAAGCCAAGTCCCTACAGTTAGAGAAGACAATTCAAGAAACATAAACATAACTGAGATTACAAGACTCCCAACAAATCTGAGGAAAGAAAAGCAAGGTGATGTGAGTCACACGGACACAAATAAATCGGACTTCAGTATTATGAATCAAGCTGGACAGCCAAACACAGTAAAAGAGGAAGAGAAGCACATTGGACTGAGTGAAAGTCTGGTAATTATTAGTAGCTCCGCTGTGAATAGAGAGGACTTGCCTTCCCCAGGAAGACAGGTGGAAATTGAAAAATATCTAAACCCAATCACAGAAAGTAATAATGGACAAATTGGTTCCAAAGTTTTAGATAAGGCTGACAGAACTCTTAATGCAGGGACAGTTAATCCAATGTCTCCAGATCTCACAGATAAGATACAGCCAGAAACGTTCATCGTAGGGACAATTGAGGAAATGGGTTTTAACTCGTTAAATGCAGAAACTCTAAAGATAGACATCCCAAGCCACAGTGAAGCTACATTTTCAGAAGATCTTGTGAAGCCCACTATAGTCCCAGCGGTAAAGAGCAAATCAAGAAATGGCAATGTGAGAATGACCAGTAGGTTTAAACCACCCGTGGGAGGCCACGGGGCAAGAAGATCTTCAATAACTCCACTCAAAGCTGTGCCAGAACAGCCTCAGAACGGCAAGAAAAACATCAGCATGACACATGAAGTGAGACAAGAACTAAAGTATGTAATGCCAAGACTTCTAAGCAACTCAGACACCACTGTTATTTCACCTACAGGCCCCAAACTGAGACCTAACATAACAAGTAAAACATCAGCAAACAGAAGTGTTGGGGAACCTTCAAAGTTGCCTATCCCAGTCAGAAATGGACATGTTCCCCGGAAAAATGTCTCTGGAATACTGAAACCAATTTATACAAGGAGGAAGCCAAACTTTCAAACTGAGATGAACACAAACAGAGGCATCAAGACAAAGGTAAGCACAAGGAATCAATTTTTTAGCCCCACTGGTGCAACACCTACTGTAAGAAGAGGTGAAATCAAACACATCCCGCAGGTAATAACATCAAATGTACTGGATAATCAGCAGTCGACAAATAACATTACAGAACCAAAATCACAACCAGAGTCTCAAAATCCAGGTGACATAAGAGATTTGGATAAGGTTCAAGAAGCTATGAACAGACCTGGAGACAACAGCGAGATTGTGTTGATCTCAAATAATGAGAACCGTTCACAGGATCCTAACACAATGCAAAGGGGCACATCAAATTCACCAGCTGGTGAAAAGGAAGGAAAGATCTTTAGTTTAGGAGGTGCCAGTATTAGTGGTCAAAATCCATCTGAAGAGGACAAAATCAGAAGTGGGAGGAAAAGGCCAACCACATCCACCTTAAAGAAAGAGTTACCCAAGGAACCAGGTGCATCTCAGTTTATAACATCGAATGTCTCTTTTACAGACATGGAGCATGGAGACAGTATGAAAAACATTCACACAGTGACTAACACACATGTTGAAAAGTCTAATAACCCCAGTCAGGATACACCCAGAAGTTTTGAAAATACTGGACCAGCACCAAATGTGAGGTCAACCGTATTGCATAATCTCTGGATTAAAAACAACAATACAGAGTCAAAATCCCCTCCAATCTCTCAAAATGCAGCTAATGTGCAAGATTTGGATCAGGTTCAACAAGGTAAAACCCATGTTAGAGACAATAGTGAGGTTGTGTTGATACTTAACACTGAGAATAGTGAAGAGGATCCAAACATACAGCAAAGTGGAGGATCTAATGTTCCTACTAGTGGAACAGAACGCAAAACATTTAGTTTGGGAACAGCTGATAAATTGGAAAGAGGAAAAAAAGGGACAAATACACCAACCCTGAAGAAGAAAGAGTTATTTAAGGATCCGGGTACAACACAATTCATAAACTCAACAGTTTCTTTTACAGACATGCAGCACAGAGATAGTACAAAAAACACTGGTTCAGTGACAAATGCGCATGTTGAAATGCCTAAAAACGTCAGTCGGGATACACCCATTAGTTTTGAAAGTATAGGAGCAACAAAAGAACTGGAACATATTAAGCTTAATAAAGACAGAGTGGATGAAATCCCTGAAGATGTATTATCTAACCCAAACACTGTGGACACAGCCAATGGTTATAGTGGAGAGAAGTATGCAATTCCAGTTGTTTTGGAAACGCTTACAAATACTGAAGAAATCAAGGGCTCAAAAGTTTTCTCACTTAGCCCTGAGGACACAGCTGAGGGATTTAAATCCCATGCAGTCAGCGATGAGGTAACAGAGAGAGAGAAAGCAGAAAACAAAATCCACAGCACCTGCCTTGGTAATTGTAACACTACATCAACTCCACACTCACAACCCAGTACAAGCCAGACCAGGACTCCATTGGCCCCTGAAAGAGGTGAGGAATTTTCTTACCCAACACATGTTCTTAATGTTTATTTAAAACATTTCAACCAAGTTGAAGGAGTATTTGCTCTTAATTCACACTCAAAAAAGCACTCCAGAGTGTTTGGAGAATGGCAGCAGTGCATGTTTATTTGACACGAAGCTTACGGTATAGTGGAATAAGTCACTGTGACACTTTGTATAGATTGCACCAAAGGTTTCAGGAGAGTTCAAATAGGGACACCTCTTTAAAAACAACCACAGGTAAAGGGAACTCAGACAAACATTACAAAGAATCCTGTGACCCCACAATTTATCTTGGTAGTGTGATAGGATTGCACATTATCCATAACAGGGATAAGTGGACTTGGATCGTCATCTGAATAGCAGATGTTGTGGTTTTTGTGAAGAGGACCAGCTGTGGGCGTCGTCTTTTGTCTGATGTATCAGGATGTGGTGTCTTTGTTGAGCTTGAGTAAAGGTTCAAAAGCTCAAACAATTTTCAGCAATGCATAATTAATTACAGACAATACTGTGCATTTACTCTTGTATTGACTGGAGACCAAAATTTATCTTAGTGTTGCTTAATGTAAACTTATGAAACAATGAACAAATAAATCCCGGCGGTCAAAACAAAACCCTCTAAAATATTAAGTTTAGTCCAGAGCGCAGCTTTGTTGTTGATGCATCATCTTCTTTCTGCTTTTATTTAAAAATTCATATGATCCAGAGATTCATCTGAATGTTTATTTTTCCAATTTCAAACCTATTGGATTTATTTGTACTGAACTTTCCGCAATGTTTCCACAAAGTATTTCGTGAAGCACTTTCACAAATAAAAATGCTTTTGTAAATGTAAACAGCTCCTCTAGTTGTAACATGACAACAGCAAAGAAACTCTCCCTGTAAGACATGCACATAAATATAAGCATGGAGATTTATGTTGTTTACACACGGTAATAGCATATTTCTTTAACAGTGGGGTGAGGTAACCTCAAATTATTTTTATGATCCACAGAAAAAAGACCTGCTCAAGACTGTGCTGATTACATTACGAAATCTCGAAGGAATGGTGTATACAGAGTAACGCCGCGACCAAAAAACACTACATTTCCTGTTTTCTGCGACATGGCGTCCTCTGGCGGAGGTTGGACGTTGATTCAACATCGCTTTGATGGTAGCACAAGTTTTAATCGCACATGGGACGAGTACAAGAATGGATTTGGGAAACTAATAGGAGAGTTCTGGCTTGGCAATGACAAGATTCACTTGCTGACAAAGGCGAAAAACATGTCATTGCGAATTGAAATTGAAGATTTCGAAGGGATCAGAGAATACGCCCAATATGACCACTTCTACATAGCCAATGAGAGCCAACAATACCGCCTGTCCATAGATGGCTACTCGGGTACAGCTGGCAATGCCATGCAATTTAGCAAAAAGTACAACCATGACCAGAAGTTCTTCACCACTCCGGACAGAGACAATGACCAGTATCCCTCAGGAAACTGTGGAGCCTATTACAGCTCAGGCTGGTGGTTTGATGCATGCATGTCTGCAAACTTAAATGGGAAATATTATCAATCAAAGTACAAAGGGGTACGTAATGGAATATTTTGGGGTACATGGCACAACATTACAATGGAATATTACCCAACTAATGAAAGACAATCATTCAGGACTGTTAGAATGATGATAAGACCTACAAACTATGCAAACTAATACGAATAACAAACAGAACTAAATTAAGCTATCTTTTGAATCATAAAGTAACTGCTGCAATAATATCAGATTTCAGTGTGGTGTCAGAAAATTGTTTTAGTAAATATGTTGTTTAATAAGCTGTAAACATAAGCATTGATATACAAAACTGAGCACTTTTGTGATGCTTCGAAAATACTGTAGTGCATAAACAATAAAAACATGCTTTTACAGATTTAGCTGTTATTTTGTATATTGTATTTTTTTTTTTTAATTCTGGGGCAGTCCATGACTGTTTATGCTCTTTTTTTCCAATGCAAATATTTTACGTTGAATAAAAGCATCTGTAATTTTGTTTGTTTTATCATTATTAAATTTTTTAATGGAAACTAAGTGCTATTTTCCATCATTATAAGTCAAAAAGGGGTTTCAAGCATTTTTTTCTTTTAAATAAAAATGTGTCCTATTTAATTGTTTAAAAAAAACAAAACACTATTAGACATTTTTACAGAAGAAACCTACAAAAAAGTCATTGAGTTAAACAAAAAAATCGTTACAGGCATATTTAGATCAAGAATGATTCAATAACATTAAAATAATTTGAAATATTCACACTTAACCAATATTCTTCTAACCAATGGGTTTTACTTTTGCCTATTTGTCAAGATGTTTTTAATACATAAAATATATACTCTGGTCATTTTTTAAAGGTCAGAATAAGCCAGATTAAGTTTGCGGTTTCAGTTTTACATAAATATGTGTTATGATAATGAGGATGGAACTTGCTTTATGTATGTATAGATTTTCTTTTTTAGACACTATAATTGCATTTATATTATAGGTGGGCACAGATTAATTTTTTTTATTGAGATTAATCTCACTGTAATCTTGGAATTCATCTAGATTAATCTAAGTGTTAAATGTGCGTTACCCAAAAAATGACTCGATAGAAGTCTTTGAGAATGGGTTTCCCAAGCCAGGTGGCGCATTAGACCAGGGGCTTAACTGATCTACTATGATAATTGGTAATGAAAATAAATTATGTTCAAAAGATGTACTTGTATTTACTGTTTTTTTAGTTAAACATGAATTTTGAACTGAAGGCCTACATAATCTCCAAAACAGCAAACTTTAATCACCTTAATCCAACAAAAGTCATAATTGAACTAAACAGAAATGGAATTAAGACATGTGGAGTTTGCATATATTAGGGGCGTTATTGAAGTAAACACTGCAATCAAACTATTACCATCATGTAGGCCATATTTTACCACAAGATCCACACAGGTGGCTGTCAGTAAAAGACCACACACACACGCACGCACGCACACAGTGAAATGCAGTTTTTTTTTTTCATTTGGCGTGGGTTATTAACTTCCATAACACTCCTTACTCCTTATTTATTTGTGTCTAATACCCCAGTTTGTCACGGGAGCATGAATGAAATATTCATGAGTTAAAATGAAACTCCCAAACTCCAAAATTACAGGAAACTCTTACATGAAAGCACTAAGTCAAACATAGTCAGTAGTGTCTTCAAAGCAAGTGGAAGATTCAGAAGGACACTTTTTTTTTTTTTTGTCAGAGGGCCCACCGGTCAGGTATACATCTGCGCTAAAATATATATATATATATATAAATATAAAAATAAATTTTGTATATGTAAAATTCATGCAGACACTGAAATGGGGTACTGACCCATAGGTGCAAACCCCAACAAATGCATCTTTTACAGTAGAACCTTTTTAAAAGTTTAATTTTTAATTTCAGTAGAAATAAATGGGAATAATAACTTGCTTCAATTTACCTTCGGCTAACAGAATTTATTAAATGTCAACAATGAAAGAAAACAACAGCACAGATATTTAAGTATGTACTGATTTTCGACACGTGATTACAGCTTACATTATGGGTTATGCTTCGCAGCTGAAACAAGTGATTTAAAAAGAATATGTTTGGGCCACAAATACTCATCATCTGTAGTGAAAACTGATTGAGAGGTACATCCTCATTACTATTCCAGTTGGTATTTTAAACCCACATTAGTATCGCAAGCATAACTATGGCCAAAGCACTTTTGATTTTGTGTTTTGTCCCAACGAATTACTTTCTCTTTGTATTCTGTACAATATATTAAGATTTTACACATCATAACATTCCTTCAGAAAAATGTTTTGAGTTTTTGTATTATTCGTGATCTGCTTAAAGTTATTTGCTAATTGTAATAATTTGCAAGTTTTCAAATACATTTCAAAGACTGCTTACAATTGTAAATGACTCATTCATGACTATTCAAAATAAAAGTTTGCATTTACACGTGTGCTGTGTATATGTATTGTAGCATAAATTTTTTGAGAGCATAGGGATTGAGCCAATTTTAGCTTGTTCTCATTTAATTTTGTTAAATACAAACATACATAAAATACAACAGACTACAAAATAAAAATATTTACATATATTTTCATATCTAAGCTAAAATATTTTACATATAAACATATACAAGCATCTGTGCATTTATATATTTATAACCTGTGTTGGGGTAACACATTAAAAGTAACATGCGTTACGTAAAAATGCTACTTTTTTTAGTAACGGGTAAAGTAACACATTACTTTAAAAATAAGTAATAATATTTAAGTTACTTTTTAGATTAATTAATACACTTTTAACAAATAGTATATTTATAGTATATAGTATATTTAATAGTATATACATGTAGAATTACACTTAATGGAAAAATTAGCTCAACGTGGAAACAGACAAAAACCATAATGGCAGAGCCTTACATTTCTGTAATGGAAGTTCTCATTATTTTGAACACATGGAAGAAAAGAGGATTATAGTCTCAATGGAAAAAAAAAAAAAGTAATGAAACTAGATACATTTTTGGGGGGAGTAACTCAATATTGTTATGTATTACTTTCAAAGGTAACTTTCCCCAACACTGTTCATAACAAATATGCACAGCACAAACATATATTATGTAAATACAATTTTTAATTAATGTTTTGACTGCATTCATTTCTAAATTTGCATCTTTTGAGCCCTGATGTATTGACAATTTCTCCACATAAAGCCATGGTCACACTGCACTTTTCTCTCCATAGACTTTCATTCACACGCAAGGAAATGCAGAAGACCAAAAACAAAAGCTCATGTGTCAAGTTTCGAAGTTTCTTGCATTACAAAGTTCAAGCTTGGTTCAAGCTCTGACCTGTGAATTGACCTCTCAAGTACACAAATGTAAAAATATGCAGCATTTGCTCATTTTTATAATGTCAAATCATCTTGTAACAATAATCAATATATCATATATAACTTATTGCAAAAAAAATATTTATAGCCCAAACATAATAACCAAATTCTAGCAGCATTTTAGCTGATTGTGCAACATCTTTATCTCTATTGGAGGTATCAGTATGGTTAAAAAAACACAACATTTACAATAAGTTACTTAAGCATATTTTCATGTGGGTTAATGACAACTGAAAATAAATCTGGTAGCAAATAATTGCAGCCTTTTTTACTTTTTACCTTGCCATTTTTTGTTCAAATTTCAAGATTTCACATTAGATATTGCTTGATACTAATAGCAGGTTTGGCATGCTGTCCTGGGAGAGAACCCAGAGCTAGGAGATAACTGAGCCCAGGGTTCCCGCCTGGTCATTAAGTATATAAGAAGATGATGGGGGTAGATGAAGTGGATGGGGGATTCTTCAAAAACAAAAGGTAAGTAAGATAAAATGGGCTATTTTATTGTAGGTCTGGATTAATCTGATTGTTTTATTGATGATTGCTAATAAGAGAGCATCAATGTGATCAAAATGGTAATAATATTGTTTATCGCAATATATTTTGGTGCGATATATCATACAACAAAAAATGAATATCGTGACAGGCCAAACCGTATGACTGATTTTCAAATGCGTGAACTCTGCTGTGACCACGGCTTAACTCTAGAGATATCGGAAATTTATGATACCTGTGCACTTTACTGACCATAAAAAATAAATATGCATCTTTGAATCACGAAGATGTTGTTGTTTATTTTATTACTATTATCATTCATTCATTTTCTTGTTAATACTATTAATATTTACACAATCTGTACAAGATGAAAACAAATATTGTAAACATATTATGCAAGTTCTGCAACGCAAAACATAAATATACGATAAAGAAAGATTTATAAATATATACACCATCATTCTAGAACATACGTTTCTCCTGCTAATAATCCATGTCTTGTTACAGTACTATTTAGGACAAAAAACAAACGCAAACAGTGTGTTTGCATGCAGCACATCAACTGTCTTTTTTGATTGATCTGTGTTTAACCTAAACGCAACAAATATTGAGCTCAACAATTAGTCATTTCTGTCACCTGAGTGTAAACTCACCACTGAGCCAAAAGTTGTAAACCTCCCTGCCTCCCTGTCAACATCAAAAAGCAGAATATTCAGCTTCACTTCCTGTGCCTGAAATAAACAAGCAGTTCCTGTTAAAGAGTTTTACACAGCTGTACATTCTTGTCCATTATATATCCCCTTTTTCATGAATAAAAACTACTTTCAAGATGATTTAACTCCTGAAAAATACAGGCTTCCAGATAATACCGTTCCCGAGTTCAGTCTCTTCTGAAGTGAAAAACGTTGAATCCCAGTTCCACCATAGCACCGATGAGCAAACCCCATAAAGGAATGCACACCGAGCTCACCATGATGTCCATTAGGCTTTCTAATTTGGCACAAAGCGTCAGACAGAAGGCCAGTTTTAGCAGCATGGCGATAAGATACCAAACGCGCTTCTTCAAGTTCTCCGCTCCATTGCGAGGGTCGAAGCCTGGTTTGCATCGACCGGCCATTTTGACAATGAGCATGAGGAGCAGGATCAGATCGAAGGTCCAGATGGGAAGGAAAATGAGGAACCAGCTCCAGTCGATCTTCCGGTCCAACTTGAGGACCAGCATGATGAGGAAGATGAGGGTGAAGATCCATGTCAGGAGGACTCTCTGTGCAAGGGACATGTTCATTTGAAATGCTGGCCGAAGGGCACAGCAATGAGCTGATCTGAGGAGAGACACAGCAGATGTTATTATGAGTGTTGTGTGACAGAGAGTTCATTTTATTTGATCTTTTAGGATCATCATGCTGCTGTTTAATAAGAAAAGATGTTAAAATACATAAATTTAAGACACTATTAGTACCGATTAAAATCAAGTGAGCTTACGATTATAAATATCTAAACAAATGAACACAAATATCTGTTAATGGTAGGGCTGCAAGATTGACATTGAGATACTTTGTTTTGCTGCAATATATATTACGATATAAAAATATTTTTATCAGATGATATGAATAGCTACATTCGGGAAGATTTTATTAGACAG